TTGCTGTTGTTGGCAAACAAACAACTAAAAGCATTTGCTGTCGTGGGCAAACATAGGAAAAAAAAAAGCGTTTGCTGTTGTTGGCAAACATACAACGAAAAGCGTTTGCTGTCGTGGGCAAACATATAAAAAAATGCGTTTGCTGTTGTTGGCAAACATACAACGAAAAGCGTTTGCTGTCGTGGGCAAACATATAAAAAAAAGCGTTTGCTGTTGTTGGCAAATATACAACGAAAAGCGTTTGCTGTCGTGGGCAAACATACAAAAAAAAGCGTTTGCTGTTGTTGGCAAACATACAACGAAAAGCGTTTGCTGTCGTGGGCAAACATATAAAAAAAAAGCGTTTGCTGTTGTTGGCAAATATACAACGAAAAGCGTTTGCTGTCGTGGGCAAACATACAAAAAAAAGCGTTTGCTGTTGTTGGCAAACATACAACGAAAAGCGTTTGCTGTCGTGGGCAAACATATATAAAAAAAAAAACTTTTCTCTTGCTTTCTCTCCCCGCTTCTCTTCACCAATAACTTCCTCCCTTAGTAAGGTTAGGGCAAGAGTCTCCCCCAGTTACAGGTTTTCTAAGTCAGTGTTTGATGGGTGTAAACATTATCATGTTTCTTGTGGCGGGGTAAAAAACTGAGGCAGTTTTTTCCCTGGAATCAAACACCGACCATAAAATTGCGTCATTGCTCAGGCAAGACAAGGGCTGATGCACCAAAAGCCCAAAATGTTTTTCCTGAGATTAGGGTGTTGTTTATCATAACTAAGGGGCCCCCGCGATGGAATTAAATGGGAATTAATCGTTTAATTCGAGTTAATACCCGCTGGGAAAGTGCGCAGATTCCCCTTTTCTAGAATCGGGTGGTCCCACACGTATATCCTTAGTAGGCTGTGGATATCATGTTACCTTAGCTATTTGCTAATCACCTTGTGGTATTATCTAGGTGGTCTTTTCCTGGCATATTTGTTTAAGTACAGTGATGCAGCTAGGGTCATGTCATATTTTGCAGCAAGACTCACGCGTTGTTTGTACGCGTTTTCCCCTCCCATCCCTGTCCCCTTGTACTCACTTCTCCTCCTGCTTATATCCCGTCATATACTTCCTTCTGCCTTCTCCTGTCTCACTTCTTCTCACACAGTCATTCGATTGTGTGACAGGTGTATCAGTCTGATTATCGGGGTAAAAAACTGAGGCAGTTTTTTCCCTGGAATCAAACACCGACCATAAAATTGCGTCATTGCTCAGGCAAGACAAGGGCTGATGCACCAAAAGCCCAAAATGTTTTTCCTGAGATTAGGGTGTTGTTTATCATAACTAAGGGGCCCCCGCGATGGAATTAACCTATCTGACCCCTCTACTTTTCCCTGTTACTCGTCCTTGCGTCATACTCGTTTCTAGGTCTCGCACACACACACACACGAGGCACGTGAACCACATTTTCAACATGGCTCAGCAGCTGGGAGACTTCGCGAAAAGATTTGGCAGTGGAGCGCCAAAAGGCGTTGGTTTAGGTCTCAAACTTTTAATTGGAGCAGGAGCAATAGGTTATGGTATTAAAGAATCGATATATACAGGTAAATCAATTACACATTGCATCACTATTATGTAATCATTTACAGGCCGCAGAACACACGTTCAAGGCCTAACGTCAATTTTGCACGACAAGAAAACAGCTTACTTGATGTAAGAGAACAAAAAATCTAGAACAATTAGCAGATGTTTCGATTTTTTCAGGAAAACTTTTTCATTTGATTGCCGTCATTTCCTAGATAGACACTTATATCTGTGTTTGCATATTATTTTGTAGGATCGAATCGAATGGGCAGATACAAAGTTTTTTCTTTCTTTAAGCGCCCCCATATGAATAGCAAAGAAAGTTTTCTCAATTATTTCAAATATATACAAAAAAATTAAGGCTTAATAACAAGAATCTTCCATATTCATAATACATAACTTTTCGAAGATCTACTTGATATACCTCACATTTGTACTTGTAGAGTCTTCTGTCTGCACATCATATATAGTTCTTGATTGACAAGATGAAAACTTGCACCAAATTAATGTTTAGGATGTTGAAAAATTTATACAGTTACAGTGCTGATAAAATTGTTTCCACAGTGTGTATTTTCTAGATTAGGCTCGGGCACAGCCCAGTCTGCAGAGTATGGCATGTGCACACCGGAGACATTTTTGTGCAAAACCTGTTGCACACCGGGTATTCTTGGGAGTGGCAACTAAGATGGGTGTGGCTTGGTGTGGTCCCATAGAAAATGTCAGCTGATAAAAACAAGCACAGTAGGAACAAGTAGGCACAGTACAACAGGGGAAAATAGTCGGTGCACACCAGCAAACCAGACATTTTTGGTGGTCTTAAAGTCTTAAAGTGCCATACTCTGCAGACCGGGGCACAGCTGCACATTAAGGTGCATTCCATCTAGCAAATCCCTAATTCTTTGGGGTAGAGTTACATTATTTGTTCTGAAAAGCATCTGCCAGCATGTGGTGTAAACTGTAATTTTGGTGAAATGGTAAAGTGGTGCAGCACAAAGCTCTTTCTGTGAATTTTAATGTATACTAATGCATCATATCCAATGAATCATTAAATTGCTTAAGAAACCGAGGTTTGGTCACATAATGATTGCATATGTTATACTGGCCTTTCCTGGACAGTTAAATAAAAATTGGCATCTGATCTTTGCTATATCTAATGTAGCTAGCAGCAGTTTATGAGTCTGTTGACAGTTTGGCAAAATTAAATGTTTGGCAGCATTTGCCTCAGCTCATCATTGTGTTTTTTTCAAGAAATTTTAGTATCATGTTCTCTAAGAAGAAAGGCCTCAAATTATCATAAACTTCCTAATAAAAATGCTGGAAATCTTTGGTGGAAATTATTTGTCAGGCTGTTATATTTCACTGTAACTTCAAATTTGCAAACTTTACATGAACTTTACCCAATGCAGTTTTGTCATTTTCTTTCCTGTTATGGAATGATGTTGTTGTTGTGGTCAAGGTTCTAGTGAGCAAGCATCTGATTATTTTTAAAAATGTTGAGGCTGTGTATCATTGAATTTTAGGGAGAGATAAATACCATTAAAGGCTCTTGCGCAATCAGCTCGCTTTGCAACTATAATTCAAAAGACCGGCCTAATCTCGCACTGCATAAACATACAAAATGTTGTCAATTTCTCAAAACAACCACCACAAAGCATGCAGTTGTGCAAGAGCTTTCAAGCAGCACTAATTCTTTTGTAGTTTGATCAAGTTGTTTTCTTTTGATATTTTATATATCAATGTTCTTTCTGTTTTAGTTGACGGTGGTCATAGGGCCATAATTTTTAGTCGTATTGGTGGCGTACAACCAGGTGTTTATGCTGAAGGAATCCACTTTAGGTAAATTGCCTTTTTTAAAACAAACTATAACAATAATGTATTTTGCATTAGGGCATAAATTGATGAAAGACTGATAAAAGAAGGAGGGTGTAGGTATTTCACCTTTTTTAAAACAAAATACAGCAATAATGTATTTTGCAAATCAGTAAAATTGATAAAATCCTCAAGAAAGGATGAGGTTGAGACTGAATTAAATACTTTTTATGGTGGAAGTCTAGGGGAAGGAGATACCCAGTTTATCAGCTTAAACCCCGGAGTAAAAAGCCATGTCCCTGCAAGTTATCAGACTGTGTATAGAGTGGCAAATAAGCTTTCTGAAAAAAATTCAAATGCTGCCTTAAAACAGCATAAAAATGACAACAATGGCATTATTTTAAAAAAGGATGGGGAAATCTACAAAGAAAGTTGGTCACTTGCCAAACCTTATTATATTTGATTTGCTAAAGAAATTTTTTTTTGCTATAATAATAAGTAAACCATGTTCAGTGGAAGAAAGAAACATAAGTTTTTACTTTTTGTCGTCAGAAAGATTACTTTAGACAAATTTTAGATGATCTTGTATGACATCATTAATGTATTACCTCTTATAATTATTTTTGCATATTTTATTGTTTCGTATTCATAATAAAGTTATTTAATTTCACTTTTTCTTTTTTTATTTAGCATTTGTTTGTGGAAAAAATGCTAGATTTTGATGATTCTTCAATACAAGCTCCAATTTAGATTTTTATTTGTTATTTTGTGAAGGTGCTATGAATTCTTACTTTCTTGATAACAGGATACCATGGTTTCAATGGCCCATCATTTATGATATCAGATCTAGACCAAGAAGAATCAGCTCTCCAACTGGTAGCAAAGGTTTGTTAAAATTCATTTTGGCTATTTTTCTTTTTTAATCAAGAATCCTCTCTTTACAGTTTGAGATTTATAATAATTCCATGTCAAATTACCAAAACTGTGGCAACAACAACAAATTTCTTCAATTGCTTATGTTATTCGCTTTTTTGTAAGTACATTTGTTTATGTGGAGGTTTATAGAAACTTTGTTGATTTGTCACAAATTCACCTTCTTGCATTCATCAATTTTCTTCTAGATTTACAAATGGTCAACATTAGCCTTCGAGTTTTAGCCCGTCCAGTTGCAGAAAACCTGCCCGTTATGTACCAAAGACTTGGCACAGACTATGATGAGAGAGTTCTTCCATCAATTTGCAATGAGGTTTGATGGGTTTTTTGTATTTCTGTTTTATTTTGGTTAGTCCTTATCTTTGTAATGAAGAAGTGATATTTGAAACAACAATTAGTTGTGATATACAAAATACAAATAAATTTTGAACTTCCTTCAGTGACAAAACATCAAATAACTATGTTTGATTAATTTAGAGAGAAAATGAAAATCAGCTTTAACACACCATATTTTCTTACTCACTGTTGTTTTTAGTTCAGAAAAGTATAAGTTGATTACATAGTTTTCACAAATTATTTTTAATCCAACCTTTTTTTATAGGTTTTGAAATCAGTTGTTGCACAGTTCAATGCTTCACAGTTGATTACCATGCGACAGGAAGTGAGTTTCATGCTATTCCAATATATTTTTAAATGATTAACAATTTCTTTTGAAAAGCACAGGCTAAATATGATTCAAGTAATCAGAATTACGAATAGTAGAATTTGGCTAATCCTATGTCTTATTTTGTGTTCATCTGCTCTTTCTCAAAATGCTCAGACCAATTATTGAATGTCAGCCAAGTTTGATATTTAGTTTCACATCATAAAAACCCATCATATTTGCTTACAATATGACTTGCTTTTTAGAGTGAAACCTATTAAACCAGGTATATATTACGGCAAGGGTAACATCTCTCCGATATTTAGCTACCCTTACCCTTTGGTAATGAGATAATTTTTGGTAAACAGCATATACTTTGCGTTTACCAAATATGGGTATTATTCTTTCATTGCTTGATTTTCACAAAAGAAATAATATTTAAAAAAATTTAATAGTTTGGGGAAATGATCTTAAAAGTTGTAAAATACATAAATTTTCATAATCATCAGAATCCCCTGCAAGAAAAGGCTGTGATATATCACCTAATTGAATGTCATTTCTGCAATTTTCATTTCATTTCTGTCATGATCATATTGTTTCTCAAAGCCCATTGCACACTGTGAGACTCAGCATCTTTCTAATCACCCTACAGGTCAGTTTACTGATGCGAAGACAATTGACAGACAGAGCTAGAGATTTTGACATCATCCTTGATGATGTTTCAATTGTATGTGGTGACCCTTCTTTTTCTGTTTGTCTCTATTGATTATGAAACAAACCACGACTTTTTATATGATACGTACTGTTAAGATCAATTCAGATAGCCTGTATGTTTCTGGATGCACTGGAATGTCTTGATACTGATTATGTCAAACTGGTTTTGTCACCTGTGGATTTGTAACTGGAATGTCTCACTGAATTTGTAAATCTGATATTTAATTTGTGATAAAATTCAGTTGGGTTGAAGATGTTGAAATTGAAATTCAAAAATATCCTCTTTGTTTCCAAGTTATCCAATTTATTACCAAGCTGTGTTTTTCAATACCTGAATCCATAACCTGTATATTGACACAGTTAAGTTAAGAAAAATTGAAATTTTGAAAAAA